AATTAGTAATATCCTTTAATATTGAACAATTTTAATATTCAAAACATTTAATCAATTAATTAATAATATAATACAATATTACTTTCTCATTTCAGTGTTTTTAAATAGAATTTGATATTACAATTTCATATAAAACTAAATTAATTTATGCATCGAATAGAACATAAGAAATATTATTATATCATATATTAAGGGTTAAATTAGTAATACAATAATATTGAAATAATATGAATAATTCAATATTCATTTTAATATTTAATATTTTTATATTTATGCAATTGAATTAATAATTAAAAATAATATGCCATTATTTGAATACATCAATGGAGTTTTTCAAATATTAAATTAAAAATAGAACAGAAAATATGATATATAAAATGTATAATAATCTATAATATAATATAATATAATATATTATAGGTGTTACTAGTTATAATAGATTATTAGAATGGCATATTGATATTTTTTATGTAGTTTTACCTTCTAAATTTGGGGAAGGAATCATATGGCACACTGAAATCTGCAAGCAAAGCAAAAAAAAAAAAAAAACACATTGCAGTCAAGTTGGCACAGGCTGAAATAAGTTCATAACACATAAAGATGTCAGTACGACCAGCAGAGCCTCGGCTTCATCACGGAAGTGAAGAACAAGCGGTTTGATGGTAAACTCAACTACTTCTGATGCTGTCCTTCATACACAGATGCTTCTGACTCGTCTTTAATTATTATTCTCGTTTGTTAGGGGTTATCGAAACTTCCCTCTTCACCTGCTGTTGTTAATTCAGGATTCTCCATGTGTCCAAACATCTCTTTCTCCTTGACTCTGACTGTACTGTGGACATCAGCCCTCACAGGATGTCCTCAACATGACACGCTTGCTCCAGGTTAGGGATGTTTTACTATAATCTGCTTGTGTTTGAGAATCATTAGGCATTTTTAGCTTTCAGCATGTCTTCTATTCCCAGAATCCTTTGCTCTGGAGTCTTTGGCGTGCCGTAATGATTACCGCACTCATATCCACTGTGGCTGGAGAGCCGATCCTCCTGTTCAGCTCTCTCTGTTCCACATGGATCCAGAGGACCACCGGTGAGACCGCATCTTCATTCAGATCACCCGCCATTAGCATAGCATAACATACTAGCTGTTTGATGCAGAGATATTACAGCAATTAATAATAATTCAGTCATTTTAGAAAAGTAATAATAGTAAAGTAATAAGAATGTAAGCAGAGGAATAATAGTGAAATAATTCAGTTGTGTTAGTAAATGAATAATAATAAGGTAATAATAATAAAGTAGTAGAATTATACTTCCTAGTACTAGTAAAATGTTAAAATGCTAAAATGTTAACAGTTAGTTGCCCAACTTTGTACAGTAAATAATTATTTTAAATTGTACAGGTAATTTTTCTACTATAAAATATTTTACATATTTTTTTTTAAACAGCAGTATGAATTACTTTATTATTGACAGAGACGACTTTCATTCAATAAGGAAATCCTGTATACTTTTATGATAAAATATTGTTAAAATTATGTTTTTAAGTAAAAACATTTAAATCATATTATAATTTTTGGGAAAGGGAATGATTTATATTTTATGTAAAAACGTCAATTATGTCTTATTTTTATTAAAATAATAATGTAATGTCTAAGTAATGCTTTTAACACCGTCACAGTATTTTTTTTACAGTAATACTGTAAAAAAGTATTCAGTAATACATTTATCAGAGTCAAATAATATAATATAATATAATGTACCACTTTATTCTTAATGTAACATTTTTGATAATATATTTAACCATTTAATATTTATAAATTTTATTATGTTACATTTATTTATTAACAATTAAAACATTTAAGCAATTCAGTGAATACAATATAGTAGAAAATGTTAGACTATTACTAATTAATAGTATTATGTTAATTTAATTCGAGTCATAATAGAGTAAAATAATAGTTGTACAAGTAGTTTGGGAAAATGCTTTGAAAAACACTCTGGATCTGTGCAGTTTAAAATCTGAAACTCAATCCATAACATGTACAATAAGCTAAACCACTAATATATTTTATGATTGCTTGTTTTAATGATTTTTGCTTTATTCCAGAGTATCGCCCTGTGTTCAGACTCCTAACCCTTCCCAGAATCCCACTGGCCAGGAGAGAGTTCATTGTCAGTATAACACATCTCTATTTGTCATTGGCTTTGGTGACGTGTTCTTCTTCCACACTCTTCTGGCATTTCCAGAACATTCAGACTCACAAAATTTGGTACGATTTTTTACAATAAATTTATACCATACCTAACTATAGACATACCTAAGCACTGGCTATTTATGTAATGCTTAAGCTAAGTCTACTCTTGACTTCCCCATAGAAGATCTGGATCCAGACTGGAGTTTTTACCAGCTAGACGACACACCACCACTTCTGACCTCTGACCCCTTCAAACAGTATGATCAAGAGTGCTCAGTGAGTCTCAAAACGACCACACTTTCAGTCAGAGGTCACGCTAAACTGACATGCAAACGTCTTTGAAACTGATTTCTGAAGAAAAAAAAAACTTATTTCTTCACTCATGACTTCCTCATGTTCAGAAAGACCAACATGATCTCACAAGAAAACGTGACTGTTTTACACATAGACTGTAAAAAAAAGATGGACGATGCATCTCCACGTCCTTCCACTATAGAAAAGTGAAGCCAAAACCCAAAATGCCCGCTGTCATCTTGCGAAAATGACGTCATTTGGAGCCCAAGTCTGCGTAGTACTGATCGTAATGTGGAGCTGCGGTATCAAAGTCCCGCCCAAACTCCCGCCGACCCAATCACGAGCTCACAATCATGACACCACACCCCCCTTTTTTTACGAACTAAAAGCAAATTTATTAGAAAAACAAACACTTGATCATACATCAGTGTGATGAAAAACTACTTGGAATAAATCATGGAAACCATCTTTGGGAAAAAAATTATTTGAAGTATAATTAGATTTTTTAGTTTAGCTTACATCCCATTCGTTTACACGGAGAGGGCGGGGTTTATGACCTATACTGCAGCCAGCCACCAGATGGCGATCAAAATGTTCTGGCTTCACTTTTCAGGACGTGTGCTGCACACTTGGTGATTTCGTATGAA